GTAGCCTTTGTCGCGGATGCGAAAGCGAGTCGCGCATTTCTACGAAGCGCTTCGCCTGCCGGGTTGGAATCAACGTCAAAGCTACGCAGGCCTCGCGAGGCCTGGCTTTCGATTGACGATGGTGAGCTAGAAACTCGAGGGAAGAGCGCCACCGCATGTATTTGACACGCCGTACCGTCTTTCGCGTCCGTATCTAGGCCTTCTCGGCAGGCACGGTGAGCCTCAACAGCTGCATGTCGAGTTGGACGGAAAGCGACTTCGAGTCTGGGTCGAGCAGCGAGGGAAAGACCAGGTGGGTGATAAAGGAGCGTGTGTCGGGTCTCGCGTCTCGCCACCTCGCGTGTCATTTGACCTGGTCATACAGCTCTTTCGCGCACTCACGGTATCATGTCATCAACGTTGGCGACCGCTGCATGGGGCATCATCCTTGCTTCCAAAGAGGGCAGCCATGACGTCAACTTTGGACAGCTTGTCGCAGGTCGCAGCGCAGCAATCAGAGGGGTGGAAGAAGTGCTGCGCTGCGCCATCAAAACCGTCGTACGTCGACTGCAATTCAACCCTGACCAAGTCATTAGCGACATGCTTGCGGCGGTGCAGACCGACCAAATGGACGTGGCCCAGCACGAAAACACAGCTCTGCAAAAAATACAAGGTGAAGGCGTGCCCAATATCAGCGCGCTCTTCCACACTCTTCTCAACATCCGGAACTTGCCTGGCGATCAGAAGCTGCTCGCCGATGCTGTAGAGGACAATTCGAGCACAGACCATCTGGGGGAAGTAAGACAAGGCAAGAACCTTCTGACGGTAAGAGGTATTACCGTATTGAGACGGAGGGCGACGACCTCGCACTGGACATCTTTATCTCGCTGTTCGGCCAACACTCCTTCTCCATCGAGGTACTGTACAATAGCCGTATTCTCGGCGCTGAGAAAGTCGAGTCATTACTCGACCACTACGACGCCGTGCTCGCTGCCATGGTCACCAATCCATCCAAGCCGGTGTCGTCCCTGCTCGACATCCAGCCCTCGGCGGTTGCGAGAAACAATGTCGAATCGAGCGAGGCGAAACTGCTCGCAGAGGCACCCACGAAGATTGTCCGGCCTGTCGAGTCTGTGCAAAGCACTGAAGTAGTTGCTACTAGCAATGTCCCGTCCTCATCAGCCGAAAAGAAGATCGAGAAACTGAGGCGCGATGTGCTCGCTGTTGGACGCGAGCGCAGCAAGCCTGTGCATGGATCAGACATTCAGCTCCCTAGGCGGTGACAGCGTCTCGATGATGCGACTCTCCCCACAGGCTTTCAAGAAAGGCATCTCCCTCACCGTCGCCCAGCAGATTGCAAATCCCACAATCAAGCAACAAGCCAAATTTGTCAAGGCTAGCACCAAGTGCAAGAAATGAGAGGATGCGCGAAGATTAAGTTCCGCTGTCGAAGTCCATGCTCAGCTGCTAGCTCCGCTCGAGGCTCCAACAGTTCTATCCCTTATGTTCTCCTCCAATGTATCCGATCCACTGCTCTGGAATGCGCTCTGTTCCAGCCAATCGATATTCATCTGACTCGGCTCATCTTTTGTTTGCGTGCGGCATGTCCACCTCCAAGTCCGAGTCCAAGTCCGAGTCCGAAGTCCTGATCTTTGATA